TGTTGTGATATATGGCTTCGAGCCAAGTTGGGGAGCTTGCTATTGGTTAGCGGATTGGTGGTTATGTACTATTTTTGTTCTGATTTGATGCATGCTGGTGAATCAGCTCTGGTCGTGGAGATTGGGCCGGGAATGGCACAAGTGAAGGGAAAATTTTGACAAAGATGTCATGAGCTCGGATGAGCAGGAAAGAAGTTTCGATTGTTAAGGTAAATTGGTATTGTCTTCAGCGTCACCTAAGATCGGTGTTTTGTAAAAAGGGCTTTGCGTCCTGGCTAATGATTCTTGATCGCTCTTAAGCGTTAGTGCGACCGGTGGTTTGGAGGTATGCCCCAAATATTGTTGCGGTAGGTTGTGGGAGTGTGTCCCACTGGAAGATTATATAAGTGGGGGAAGGGGGGAGGGGGGAGGGGGGAGGGGGGAGGGGGAGGAGGAGTGGTGGTGGTGAGTGGGATGTGACTTCTCTCATTTATATTCGGCAAGCACTTGCCAGCGAAATGTTTTCATTTATTCCTTGCGCTTAAATTACTGATTGTTTTTTGTCTGTTTCACTTTATTTACTTTCCTGGCACACGTATCTCATTTATATTCAGCAAGCCAAATGTTTTCACTTATTCCTTATGCTTAAATTACTGTTTTTTTTGTCTGTTTCACTTTTTTTTTTCCTGGCAAACATCTTCACATATGTGAATGTTCTGTACCTTTCTAGTTGCTATTTTCACTGGTGCATCTTGTGCAGTTTTTATGAATTGCGCTTCTTTATAGTTTCCATATATTTGTTATAGCACTGCAGAGTGAATTTTATAGCTGAATGTTGCGTGTATTAGGGTGATCCGGATAAATATAACCAGCTTGTTGGGGTTATGCACTGTAAGGAACGCCTTGTACCCGAGGAGGTTGCCCTACTGGTGGTATGTTTCCTTGGAGATTGCACATGCAATCACTTTTTGTGGTGGTTTCTTTTGCTTCATGTTTTAATTTTTATTTCATTTGGTCTTCGCATTTCAGACATGTTTAAAAGCTTTGTCAGGATCAGTTTCTTGTCTAGACATTGTTCATCATCAAAGTCTTCTTTCATCTGTAAGTTCTAAGTAGCTGTATTAACAATCTGCATCTTTTAGATAAGAATAGTGGTTGGTAAGCTTGTATACTTAAATGTCTTACTCGCCTTCAGATTTTAGGAATGAGCATGTGGAACTATGGGACTGATGTAATGGATGCTTTGATGGAATTACTTATATCCTTGGTATGTGGCTTTAGTGCTGCAATCTTCCATGTTTGTGTCTAATTGTGTCTATGATCATGAGTCTTCTCCTATGCTATAGGCTACATCCGGTGGGCAGTATGTCGATTTGTGCTTGGAAATGCTTGTGAACAATTTTGTGCCGCCTCCTTCATTCATATCATTGTTGAATCAGCCACGTGGCATTCTACGAAAGGGCCAAGTCATTGATCGTGTCCATTCAACTTTAGTAGACATTGCAGAGTTAGTTCCTCTCTCCCCCTTGAGACTTGAGAAGATAGTAAAGGAGAAGATGCAGAGGATGCCAATCAATTACACAAAGGAACCAGTAAGTGCAGATACATGCTTTCTTTACAAAGAAGATTCTTCCACTATGCAGCTTATTCAATGTTCTGGTTCTAGTGACATTTTTTTTAATTAGTGAACCTTGCATCACCAGAACCTTGTGTTGATAATCTGTTTCTTCTGTGTTGTGCTCCTTATTGCTGGAAGCTCCTAAATTCTTATCCATGTTTTTTTTTTCTTTGCCTGAAGTTCATCATGGCATATGTGGAGAACATGTTAAAACTGGAGGGTGGAGCAATTGGTGGTCTTGTTGGAAGAACCATGCTTGTGGCAATTATGGATTGGCTGATAGATTTGGATGTAAGTTGTTTGAAATTGAAGCTTTGCTCTGTCACTGTGTAGAAGTTGTTGCATTAGCTTAACTTTCTTTTTGTCCTTGAGTTTCTTAGGTAGACATCGCATGGGATGAAATCTTAAATGAGGATTTCACCAAATGCATCTTCGATATGGAGCTGGAAGATCTGGATGGTCTAGTAGATGATGGTCAGCAAGATGGTGACCAGGTGATTTTCATCTTTTTACTGATATTCTTCTGTATGTTAGTGTTGCCAACTTGCCATTGCCACTAGTGTTGTTTCTTTGACTCTTTTTTTTCCTTGGGATAGTGCGGTTGATGGTGATATATCTTTTCATTTCTTTTGGAGCTGAGAATAAGAAAATCAAGTATCTGTGTAAAAATATTAATGTTGCAGTTATTCGGTTCACTTTGCGTTATCTCTAACAGGAAAAGCTTTTGTGAGGGTAGTATGGAAGGAATGGAAGGAAAGAAATAGGAGATCGTTACAAGTGGGTGACACTTGAGAGTGATTTTGTACATATCCAGAGTAGTCTTGTGCCTTAGGGATGACAATGGGGCGGTGCGGGTTTAGACACATGCGGGGCGTTGCGGGTTTAAACATATGTGGGTGCGGTGCGGGTCAAAATAAAAAAAATTAAATCTATGCGGGTGCGGTGCGGGTCAAAATAAAAAAAAAAAATCTAGGTGCGGTGCGGGTGCGGGTTTAAAAATTTCATCAAAGAAGGAAACTCAATTTTCTGACTTTCTAAAGATGAAATTGATTCCACTTAATATATTGGGATCAAGAGAATATATAAAATGAACTGACAAGCTCTTTATCCATCTACCAAATCACAACATCATTTCACATACAACTCTATATAAAAATATTAAATTTTAAATTGACTCTTAACATGAACTGCTTGCTTTTTCATACGAACAATGATCGAATGTTTGAGATTGACTCAGACAAAGGAATAGAAACAAAAATAATTAAAAGGAAATACAAATGAGAAGCATATTATATGCAAAAAAAAAAAAAAATCAATAGACGCTGTGCTGCTCTCAAAATGAAAGTTTGCATATTTCTTCTGTTTCTCTGTCTCGGAATGCTGTATTTAGAAGCATTTTCTGTGAACAATTGAAGGTCCAGATTCATCATGCTCTGCCTTAGCGATCCACATCTGTAATCGGGAAAAAAATAATCCATAAGTACATTTTTTTCCTAGATATCATTTTGGCCATCAAAGAGCTTTACTACTACTTATGTTGCTCTCTAACCTTCCAACTGGCTTTTTACCACCCAATTGTACGCTCTTTTTCTTCTTATTTTCCCTCTTGTGAGCACCAACTCCACATAAAAATGCCACCATAGAAAAAAAAAATTAAAACTAACAAAATGAAGAAACAAACAGTTGTGCGGGGCGGGGAGGGGCGGGCGGGCGGGCGCGGGTGTGGATGCGGGGCGGGTGAACACGGGTGCAACTGCTATGCAGGGCGGGGCGGGTTGAAATTTTGCGGGTTAAGAGAAAATCCGCCCCGCACCGCTTGCCATCCCGCCTCTAGTTTATTTTTGGTGCACACTTGATTCCTGTTTGTATAGATGATTGGGTGAATTTTGTACAGAACCATGTTTAGCCTAGCTTTCTCTACTTTTTGGTATACTATGTGTATATGGGGATTTCCCGATATTTATAGAAATCATATACCCTATAATAAAAAATGGTCTTAATCTAAGAATCCAAGTAGTTAAAGAATACCTAATGATTCAGAAGAGGTTTTCATAACATTTCTCTTTAAATCTGAGTCAACCTTGAGGAAAATTTGCCTTGTCAATATTGTGTGAACTCTGACCAGCATTTAAGTGGTCAAGAGTACTATTTTCTTCCGAATTATTTTCCTTAATAAAGGTCATATTTCCCACAGTTTTATTTTCACCCTTCCCATATTCGTCTACCGACATTTCCTTTTTCATGGTGTTGATCTTCTGATCAAAAGATTGTATACAATTGGATTAGGGTCCAGTANTTATCCATCTACCAAATCACAACATCATTTCACATACAACTCTATATAAAAATATTAAATTTTAAATTGACTCTTAACATGAATTGCTTGCTTTTTCATACCAACAATGACCGAATATTTGAGATTGACTCAGATAAGGGATAGAAACAAAAATAATTAAAAGGAAATACAAATGAGAAGCATATTATATGCAATCAATAGATGCGGTGCTGCTCTCAAAATGAAAGTTTGTATATTTCTTCTGTTTCTCTGTCTCGGAATGCTGTATTTAGAAGCATTTTCTGTAAACAATTGAAGGTCCAGATTCATCATGCTCTGCCTTAGCGATCCACATCTGTAATCGGGAAAAAAAATCCATAAGTAATTTTTTTTCCAAGATATCATTTTGGCCATCAAAAGAGCTTTACTACTACTTATGTTGCTCTCTAACCTTCCAACTGGCTTTTTACCACCCAATTGTACGCTCTTTTTCTTCTCCTTTTCCCTCTTGTGAGCACCAACTCCACATAAAAATGCCACCATAGAAAAAAAAATAGGACTAACAAAATGAAGAAAAAAACAGTTGTGCGGGGCGGGGAGGGGCGGGTGTAGATGCGGGGCGGGTTGAAATTTTGCGGGTTAAGAGAAAACCCGCCCGCACCTGCCCCGCCTCACACCGCACTGCTTGCCATCCCTATGTGCCTCCAGTTTATTTTTGGTGCACACTTGATTCCTGTTTGTATAGATAATTGGGTGAATTTTGTACAGAACCATGTTTAGCCTAGCTTTCTCTACTCTTTGGTATACTATGTGTATATGGGGATTTCCCAATATTTATAGAAATCATATACCTTATAATAAAAAATGGTCTTAATCTTGAAGAATCCAAGTACTTAAAGAATACCTGATGATTCAGAAGAGGATTTCATAACATTTCTCTATAAATCTGAGTCAACCTTGAGGAAAATTTGCCTTGTCAATATTGTGTGAACTCTGACCAGCATTTAAGTGGTCAAGAGTACTATTTTCTTCCGAATTATTTTCCTTAGTAAAGGTCATATTTCCCACAGTTTTATTTTCACCCTGCCCATATTCGTCTACCGACATTTCCTTTTTCATGGTGTTGATCTTCTGATCAAAAGATTGTATACAATTGGATTAGGGTCCAGTATATTCAAAATTGTCATCAATTAGAGAGAATTACGATACCGTATTACCGTCTTTGGCAAGATTTTTTATTTTTGTTCTTGTAAACGGTTATTTTTTCATGTGGTATGCGGTTGTATCCCTTTCTCCATTTTTCGATTAAGCTAGTATTTGATTGTATCTTGTATAAATACAATACACTAGGCATATCGAAAGTACTTATTATAAGGAAAATACAAAGAAAATAAGTAGCTTTCAGCTGATGATTGATCAAATTCTGTTAAAATATTTCATCTCTCTTTGATTCTTTTATAAGTAAAATTATTAGAGCGTTCACCAGAAGCTCGATCTGCTGACCACAAGGTTAAGAGCATTGTACTCTACTACTGAGCTCATCCAGCTTTTTGATTTGGTTTTTGCCATCATTCTTTATATACTAACTAGCTTTTTACTCTCAGCTCCGAATTTCTTGGATGGAACGGCTTGGAAATGCCAGTGCTCAAAAATTGGATAGCTTGATGGTGCTTACCTTTGAACACCTTAACTTTTGCCAAGAGAGTGGACGCCTGAGTCAGGTAAATTGGACGCATCAATGTCTAGTTTCTAACTCTTACATGCAGTTGTCTTTCATATGGTGTAGGTTTTTGAGACTCTTCTCCAGTCTTTTCAGCATACTGTTTTGATGGCATACAACATGCGTAATATCATCTCTGACACTTGGGCTAGTCTTTCATTTAGTGTACTCTTTCTTTCCCAGCACTTCTTGAACTTGATGTACAGTATTCTTCTTAGTTTCTTTGTCTTACTTCTATGTGTACCTTCTTGCCCTTTAAAATTAAACTTAAACTTTTTGCTGATATTGCAGTTTGTGATGTTTTATGCCTGTACGCTGGATCCTGAAAACTGTGGCATGAGATTTGCTGATACACTATTTGATATATTTAAGAGCAGTATCTATCCACAATGGAGGTGAGGATTATAGAGTTTTGACTCTTTGGCTTCTTTTTCTTGCTTTTCCCGCCTGTTGCACCCTGACACCGTATTGTTGATCAATTAGCTTAGTCATATCTTATGGATACACAAGCAACCGCTCGCTCAGTTTGCTATTCAATCTGAGTGTTTAGAAGATTGCTCTTTATGTAAATGGGTCAATGAGCTTAGGATTCTTTCATCTTTGAACGTAATTATGGAAGCTAATGAATAGTCTGTGCTCCCTGTTTATACATATATTTATTGTAATTTTGAATTCAACTATCCCCTCTTTTCTGAATTTTGTTGGGACACTGCTTGGAGTCTCAACATTGGTCCCTCTATGATCCTCTCACTGAATTTACATGCACTCAGAGTAGTATTCAGTACTAAGACTAGCCGACTTTAATAGATAACATGCCATCAAATAGTGGTCCTTAAAAGTCATAGATTACTGTGCTTAAGTATCTTTTCAGCTGTGTTGGATAAGACAATTAGAAGTACTGAAGTAGCCATTGCCATTTCCTTGTCAGAAGGTAATGAAGTGCTTCTCGGTGATCTTGATTTTTCAATTTCAAATGCTACTGAACAGATTTGATACTCTCTGGGAGTGGATAAATTTGATAGCTCTTTGCTTGCTAGTTACACATTTTCTCATGGTTGTTGGGAGGTAGTAATACTTTTATTGTTTTTTTGCAGAATGAGTGCTGTTGCCTATCTTGCCAGTTATTTGGCTCGTGCAAAGTTTTTGTCTATCTCATCTGTTGCTGAATATGTAGAAAGGTTTACTCGATGAACCTAACCATCTTCCTTTGCACACTTTATAGTTTTAAGTTGCTCCCCTTGGTTAGTAATAAATTGAGCACATCCCAAGTCATGGATTTCTTTCTTTTTGTGCGAGGATTAGTTTGGTTGAATGGTGTTCCACTTATTGCTCCAACCAGAGTGGTGGTATCAATCCAAAAGCTCACAAGGAATTCTATGTTGGGTACCAGGTATTTGACAGCTTTGATGTAGTCAAAACCTTTAATGGTCTGCCCCACTCCCTCACACAGACAGATCCTTGTTCATTTTTGTGAAGTTATTTGTGGTGGTTTCTATTTTAAGTGAAATAATGACTTATACTATTGTACTGTCAATCTTGAGACCAAGAGAATAGATCAGTGTCAATTCTGTAATCAGCAAATGATTCTCTTTAAGTACTCTTGGTATTGGTTGTTATATTGTTTCAGGAGTGCAAGGCTTTTTTCTGTTGTTAGTGTGGAATTAAGTAAAGGCTTTCCGAATTATATCCCTGGGGCTAATTTTATTTATATACCATGTGAGTGCTGGGAAGGGGAAAGGAAAGTGTTAGGAAGTTAACTTCCATATTTTGTGCATTGTGGGAAACTTTGAGAGAAGTGGTTAAAGACTTTTTCTTTAAAAAGACTTCTTCCAACTTTAATTTTGCAAAACATGTAGGAAATTTTAACTTTACTTTAGCACAAAATTTTCAGAAACTTCGTTAACATCCAAACAAATTGTTACTGATTCTGTTCATTGTAATGCAGGCCATGATGTACATACTTTGTTTTCGCATGAGATCAATGCTTGCTATTCCTCGTATCAGGTCACGGCTCTCAAAGCACATAGAGGATATCCTGAGGCATCCATTGAGCCCATTAATGGTAATGCATTCTCTCACACACACACTCTCTCTCTCTATGGATTTCTTTTGTTTTGTGTTTTATTTTTATTTTTTATTAGTTCGTGCGGATAGACTATATGTGCTGTAAGCTTAGAGAGCATAAAAAAAAATTGAGTGAGATTAGGTGGTTCTATGGAATCACAGTGCTTTAGATTTAGAGGTTAGACCGACCATGTTGCATGGGCTAGAGTGTTGGCAGGTCAAGAATTTCATGTCTAGAATACGAGAGTAGCTGAAATGAGGATATTGAGATGGATGCGAGCACACTATGTTAGATAAGATTAAGAATGAAGTTATTCGGGATAAGGTGGGAGCGGCCCCCCCGGGAGGATAAGATGCGGGAGACGAGGTTGAGATGGTTAGGGCATGTTAAGAGGAGAAGCACAGAAGCCCCAGGTAGGAGGCGTGAGAGGTTGACCTTGGTGGGTATGAAGAGGAGTAGAGGTAGGCCAATGAAGTCTTGGGTATAGGTGATATAGAAGTAGGCCTAAGAAGTCTTGGGTATAGGTGATTAGGCGTGATATGGTGCAATTGGAGGTTACTGAGGACATGAACCTTGATAGGAGGGTGTAGAGGACCAGAGGTCGAGGATTAGGATAGAAGGTTAGTAGACAGTCGAACGTTTCCCTTTGTCTTCTTTAGTTCGATAGCGTTGGTGTTAGTTTGTTATCCCTTTATTCTTAGATTGCTATTACTACCATTTAATCGCTACCTTGGCTTCAGTCCTTTTTTATCTTGTTGTTAATACTTGTTTGCATTACTTCTTTTATCTTTTCTTTAGCCGATGATCTTTCAGAAACAACCCCTAGAATCGAGGCAAAGTGGTTTATGATTGAATCTCACAGGCATTCTTATCATTTGGTAGATCCAAGTCCGCCTTTCAGGGTAGGGGTAAGGCTCCGTACATCTCACCTTCCCCAGACCACACCCCCACTTGGGGGAATTCACTGTTTTTTTTTGTTGTTAGATATAGAGGTTCCGTCATTCGGAAAATGGTTAGATGCAGATACAAAACAAAACTAAAATAGAGGATTCTTTTTGGGGGGGTGGGGGTGGGGGGTGGGGGTGGGGGTGTAGAAGTGATGCAATGCAATAGGAGGATGTTTGTCAAAGTGAAACAAATTATACAAAATTGTTGTAATGCCAACAAGTTTCAGGGAACTAAAATGTTGGGCTGAACATATCAATGGGATGCGTTGCAGACATTAAGATGGATGTGCAGCCAGCATAATTAGGCAAGACGGAATGATCGCCATTAACAAAAGCAAAGATTGACCGAGATGGTATGATAATGACTTCCACCTCCAAATACACTCATTCGTTTGTGACGTTGTGATGATTAAAGGTGTTAACTAAAGTCACATGAAGCAAACTTTCAAAAACTTGAAATCTCTTGGGGTTCATGCGGATTACCGAAGAACAGAACATAGTGGAAGCAAACTATTCAGATTGATATTGAGGCCTATTCATTGTTGGTTTCATATTGCATAGTCCGGTATTTGTAAGTATTCTTTTGAGTTCGGTTAGATATTTGGTAGCCGATCCAAACTAGTTTGTGATTGTACTGTTGTATAAGTTCATTCTGTATTTCTTTGATATTAGTGCTCTCTAACGTAGCCAATAGTTGTATGTATATCTTTATCTGTTAGTGGATTCTCTACCAGTCTCCAATAAAATATTTTTTAACAGGTATGCTTGCCATCAGCAGTGAAAGAACTTCTTTGGTTGGCAAAAGTAATTAATCTTGATATTCCTGATATTTTTTAACAGGTATGCTTGCCATCAGTAGTGAAAGAATTTCTTCGGTTGGCAAAAGTAACTAATCTTGATGTGCCTGATAACTTTGTATCAAGTGGTCTGCTCGAGTCCGATCTTTCAATCTCTTTTGGTGGTAGAGAGAGGCTTGACATGTTTTTCCCATTTGATCCTTGTCTGCTATTGAGATCTGACAGGTTTGTTTCTACATTGGACTATTGATTTCTCAAGTGCATTAATTGGGTTGATCTTGAATTGGATATTCAAGTACCTTCAGAGATAATATTTGTTCTGCTATTTGTATTAATTAGTATGTTCTTATGTCTCATCTCTTATTATATGTTTTGGAAGATTCATCCGGCCAAATTTTGTGTACTGGTCAATGGTTCGGAGCTCATATGACAACGATGATGATGATGATGATGAGGGTACTAGTGATGAAGACGATATTGAAATCTGTACTGCAGGGAAGGGGATGAATATAGGTGACGGAGTCGCCCGAAGTTATGATCAGGATCTCGATGAATTTGATCATGAAATGAGCAAAATGTCCATAACACCTAAAGTTGCTCAATGGTTTGGAGGTGAATTACGACCTGACATGCAGATGCCTTCACGAATCAGACCATGTCCGGAGTCCTTATAGAGATTAATCTGCATGTTTGATTGTCATGAAAGAGGAAATGCTTGCCCTTGCATGACAAGAGTCGGACCATGCCATTAAGAGTTGGAAATGCTTGTCCTCGACCGTGGTTGGCCATGAGCAACACGTGAAGATAATGCAATATTTCGTTGGACTCGGATTCGTCAGGCCTCCACTCCTGCCTGCTTAACATCCCATGAAATGTTAGAGGTCAATTTTTGTATTTATAGCAAAAGCTATTTGTTATATGTAGCAATAGTCGTTCCCATTATCGGTACTAATGGTGAAAATAGATAAAATTCTCTTGTATTTTCTTGTGGGTGTTAATACATTACGCCCAATATAAGAGTGTGTCTATATTTGGAAATGTAATGCTCCAGATGAAGATTGCAAAACAACTATATTTTCTCTAATCTCACTTTATTAGTATATAAATGTTATTTAATTTTCGACCCTTATAATTTAGTGCTGATACCATACGGAAACTTTACACCCACTCGAGCAAAGTTGCAATATATGTAAGACACCATATTTTCTATAATAACACACTTGATTAATATAATTAAGTTTTTTTTTAAAACAAAAAAGAAATTTATCACCATTAAAATTTATAGCATTATGTAACTTATTTAATGGCAACAAACCACATGCCTCTTTTAAAAATAAGTACATATTTGGCATAAAGTTCCATGTCAAAGCAGCTGCCGCTGTAAGAAACCCTGCCACACCGCCACCCAAAACTCAGCCATCTGGTCCAGCTAGTGACACACTCAAACCACCTGATAAGAATTTTCTGGAGTACGATGTAACAAGCAGAGAGGAAGTCAAGTTTTTCTTCTCGTAGTTATATTCCAAACTGCAGGCCTGTTAAGCATTTGAGTGTAAGTGCACCTCATAATTTGCATGAAATGAGCAAAGAAGCGAGGAAGGGTGGAAAGCATCTGGCCATTTAATGCATTAACTAGTATTCGTACCCGCACGATACGCGAGGAATTATAAAATTAAAAAATAATAAGAAATATTACTTGAAATGGTAATGAAAAGTGATCAAAAATAATATGTTATTGGTTAATGAAAGTAACAACCTCTACTTCTTAAACCGCATTTGGAACAAAAAAAAAAAAAATAGTCACAATCTTTAAGACTCTACAATATATGTAACAAAATCACTGTCTCTGTTCAATTAGCTTGAATTTATTACATAAAATAAAATAAAATAATGAGCTTTACGAACAAAGCATTCTCGTCGAACTCCATCTTTCTCTGGAATATAAATCTAAGTAAATGCAAACTGAACTCACTTTTCACAACAAATTCCACGAAATTGTTTGCTTTCTCTGGCTAGAAACTTTATCTGACAAATGAATTCATGTAATGATCAAAGATCGAACATCAAAGATCAAACTTTGGATAAACTTGTATGATTTCTGTCTTCTACAACCAAAGTTGTTGTTTCTCGATGTATGACTTTACACTTCCTGAATTGTTAACTCGATGCGAAAAGCTCAACAAAAATATTACAACAATGATGAAGATAGAATTTGGCAAAAAAATACGGGCAATGTTACATTCACATATGTAAGATCATGCCTAAACTAACTGAAAGGGTAATGTTTCTTTGTATTTAGAGTCGCGCAAATTACAAATTTTAATCCATGTAGTTTAATCATTCCTAATACTTTATGAGTTTTAATGAGAACACTTCATTTTTAAAAACAACCTCATCTGCTAAGAATAAAGGCTAAACTGATATGAAAGAATTCTAGAAAAAAAAAATCTTCCTTTCACTATTTAAATCGAGGAAACAAACAAAAACTTAAGAAATTCTTTCTTGTGTTTTAAAAATTTTAAAGAAGGGAAAAGTTTTATGTATTACGTTGATAAAAACAAAGTATAATACAATAGTATTGAATTTATATAAAAGATAGATCCTAGTAAATTGAATAACTTAGCCTAGTTATAGAGAATTAATTTTAGAAATGAAGAATCAGATCTTTTGGCCGAAAACATTCTTAAGCTGCCAAAATCTATGCAATATCCTTAAGTATCCATGTGGACAAAGGATATCCATAAATCTTATCAAAGTGAACAGATCTTTAATTGCACACTTTAAAAATCAAATAAAACCCACAATCATTGTGCATGACATCCCACTGTCATACTAAAGATATTAATTGTTTGATCCCTCAAATTTTGTTTATAAACTACATATATACATCAACCTATTTGTGATATTCTTCAACCTATTTGTTATATCAAGTTATATTTCTTTAGATTGTAATGAGCCACTTGACAACATAATGTTAACTCAAACTGAAGCACTAACCTGGAGTAGTTTTGAATTTCAAAATTCGTGTTTTGATGCTTCCTTCAGATTCATGTTCTTATAGCTCTGCCTTCTCAGCAATGTTCAAGAAGACTTCTTAGCATTGTAAGACATTATGGATGTCCCATATGCCAAACTCCATTTAACTAATTTCTATCTCAGCAAAGAGCTTCTGATGCAGACGTGCACACATACACACACATGTAAACAGGAATATCAGAAATGTTATATATTAATACGTTCTTCTGATTCTCCTTGTCGTGAGGAAAAACAAATGCCAAGCATGACTTATCTTCCTCTTTTGGTTGTGACATCTAAGTCAAGTCAAACAAAAAGCTTTAAGTTAGGAGCATGAGTTTTATTAATAGTAGAAAATATCAAGAAAAATTCTTGGTTAAAAGGACATGTCTGAAGAATTCTTTGACAATCTCAATACATTTCCTGTCTATCATATACTTGTGGAATTCACATCATCAAGACAATAAAGTATGCCCTTTTACATAACTCCAATTGATAAAATAAAATATTAACTTCCTCCATAGAATGTGTTGTCAAAATGATTAAGCGCACTTGCTTTATAGCGCCAATAACACTTGCAATGCTATGCCTATTAAAAGTGTCGAAGACTTCTGTAACCTTAGAGTCGTTATGATGTTTGACTTTAGAGTTGGCTACATAATTAAGTATCATATCGACGAAATAGTTTTTAGTTTTTGTAAAAGATTGAATTGTCACATGATAATGTTATTACTTATTAGTATCTCTTACTTTAATATGTAAAGTATATTGTCCTTGCATAATTTTGTCACAATATGCTTCAGAGTCAAGTCTCAATGTGACAATGTCCCATTCCTACTTTGAGTTAAAAACTTGATAGTGTTAAAAACTTTAATCTGAAAGGCTACCTTCAAAATGTTTATGTGTATCCCGTTTTCAAATGGCGATGAGGACTTCATGAACAAACTGGAGATTGATAGCATGATTTTTCCCACAAAACGCTAATCAAGATTAAATACACCAGTGCCAAGCAAAGTTAGCGCTGACTCGTATCCGTCACTTCCTGATGAGTTAAGTCTCAATGTCCCAATCCTACTTTAAGTTAAAAATATGTAGATAGTCATATATATATATATATATATATATTCAGCATTCACACATGGAAGGAAAAAGTCAAAAACAGAAGGGAGTACATCACCTGAGATGAATAATTACAAAATGATGATCAGATGCTTAGCAATTTACTCATCGAACAACAAAAAATCATAAAAAACGATTCTGGATGCAATTTTCCCCGGATAAACTATTATGATTTATGGATAAACTTGCTAAGATCATGCCTAAACTAACTGAAAGGGTAATGTTTCTTTGCATTTAGAGTCGCGCAAATTACAAATTTTAATCCATGTAGTTTAATCATTCCTAATACTTTATGAGTTTTAATGAGAATATTCCATTTTTAAAAACAACCCCTTCTGCTAAGAATAAAGGCTAAACTAATATGAAAGAATTCTAGAAGAAAAAAAATCTTCCTTTCGCTATTTAAATCGAGGAAACAAACAAAAACTTAAGAAATTCTTTCTTGTGTTTTAAAGATTTTAAAGAAGGGAAAAGTTTTATATATTACGTTGATAAAAACAAAGTATGTAGATAGTCATATATATATATTCGGCATTCACACATGAAAGGAAAAAAGTCAAAAGCAGAAGGAAGTACATCACCTGAGATGCATAATTGCAAAATGATGATTAGATGCTTAGCAATTTACTCATAGAACAACGAAAAATTATAAAGAATGATTTTGGATGAAATTTTCCCCGGCAAATTTTTGGTGAAAGAAAAAAGGGAACTATACGTTTTTTCTAATCCAATATATGCAAGAGGAGAAATTCAGTTAGTTTTTAAAAGGAAGGGGAGTGGAGGAAGTGGGAGTAGTTGGTGGTTTTTATTGGTAGTTTCTATTGCTTGAAAAATTTAAAATTTTTGAATTTTGAAAAAAAACGTGTCTTTCACATCTATTTTTAAATGAATTTGAATTTTGATACTCCAAGAAAGTTGGAGGATTGTCCAAATTTTTTACATGTGTCAATTTAATGTTATGTCACTTGTTATCATAATAGTTATTTGCCTCTCCTATTCTATATTAATAGATTAGCCGGTAGACAAAAAAGAACTCCCCATGATTTAGATTTCACTGTAAAGCATGAAATTTGTCAATCAGAAATCAAGTTTATGAATGTTAATCCTCCCTCCTGCATCACCATGGCATAAATCTTTTTTTTCTATTTTCTGAATGGATGATAATTATTTTGAACGGATAAATGGGACCTTAGTCATTCTTGGATTGGATAAAAAGGTTGTATTTAGTTTTTGCCTCTACGGCTATATACAATGGAAAATTGATTAAAATAACTTTACATGCTTTTGCATAATGGGTGCACAGATTTGAAGATGGAACAATATAATGTTGAAAATTGAGTTGCATTAAGTGTGCAGATGATGGCATGGCAGTTGCAGAAGAAAGAGAACGATGCCTGCTAAAGGGAGAAATTGATCCATCCGAAATTAAAATAAGAAAATTGATAAATTCTAGACAGAAAAAAATGCTTTTGGAAGGAAGTTCCAAATTTTCCATTGAACAAACTTACTTCTCAATTCTCTTATTTCCCGAAAATAGAAGTTCATTCACAACAAATTAGAACAACTTCCAGTAGCAGATACGTAATGTTCCATAACCGTACGCCATATAACAGGGAGAAATTCAAAAATAGCAGATTTACAAGTGGTTGTTCAAAATAGTCCAGTTTCAAAAGTAATCGAAATTTTGTCACTTTTCATGTAAAGATAAATCTGAGCGAAAACACTGTTCAAAACCCGGAAAATACGCCGGTATATTATACTGGAGTTCCAAGATAAGTATGCTGTGCTGGAGTTCCAGCATAAGTACACTAAAACTCCAGCAGAATATGCTGGAGTTCTAGCAAAGTATACCAGTCCAGTATAATATGCTGGAAGTTCATACACAAGTGCTCGAATCTCCAGTATATTATGCTAGAACTTTCCGTGTGTTGGAGTTCCAGCACAATATGCTGGAAGTTCATACACAGGTGCACCGAACTCCA